CCCTCCTTCCCTCCTTCCCTCTCTCCCTCCCTCCCTCCCTAGTCAGCCAGGTCGCCATGCAGTCTGTGCAGGTTCAGTCTCGTCCTCGCGGGGTTTCTCAGTCTGAGCGGCGCACAGTCCGAGTGACGCTCCCCCTCCTCTCTCGGCTGTTCCACCTCCGTCAGACTCAAGTTGCGTCGCTCCTCTGCATCTCCCTCTCCTCCCTCAAGTGCGCCTGCCGCAAGTTGGGCCTCGACCGATGGCCATACGAGCGCCGGTGCCATGAAAGAGCGGTGGGCGACCAGGAGGAGGCAGCGAAGGCGATGGAGGAGGGAAAGGTCAGGAGCGAAGCACCGGGGGAGGTCGAAGGTCGTGCAGAGCATGCTAAGCCAGTAGAGCAGGAGAATGAGGGAGAGGAGGAAGACGACTCGATCTGGGATTGGGACCGCCAGACGAGCAAGGAGGCGAACGAGGAGACGGAGAGATGGGAGGAGAGCTTGATTTTGGGGATATGATAGATAGCAAATGATGACACTAGGAGCAACGCTTGTCCTCCTTGCTTCCGCCAACCATCCCTTGTGGCAGTGGGAGGAGAAGGGGGGGAGAAAGATGAGGGTACGAGGAAGAGGAGGTTGCAACAGCACAGCCGATCATGTGGACTAATAAAAATGAATGAAGCGATCATTTTCTGTTCTTGTCCTCGTTTCCCTCTTCCCATCACTAGATATCAATTCTTGCAAATCTCCTCCCTTTCTCTTGCAATTGCCCCCCCCCCCCCCCCCCCCTCCAATCCTCGTTCTTCCTCCTCCCTGCTGCTTCTCCCCTCCCGCTGCTCATCCCCCTCAGCTTTCCAGCGAGTCCGACGGCATGTTCCTTCCACTTGCCCACCGGCCGTCAAACTGCCCACAGTGACACAGCAAGTCAGTCGCTTCCCCGGCCCCCTCCTCCACCTTCCCCACCTTGGGCCCCAGCAGCAGCTGGAATGATCCTTGACATCCATTGCTGGCTGGTAGGGCTGCTGCCTACAGTGACTGCGGGTAACGAAGACTTCAGCACGCACCTTGCTCGGAAGTCAGGTATACCACCTGCCTCCTGCCCGATCCTCATCGCAGACAACGAGTGCTTCATGCTCTGTGCGAAGCTCGTCAGCAGGTAGACTCCCGACTGGTGAGGTCGAGTTCACCAGCAAGAACTTCGCGCAGGCCTCCAAGCTGCTGTCAACCTTCCAGGAGTCATCCATATGAGACGTGGAAGAGGCAGGAATAGGAAGCGAGGAGGAGGAGCAGGAGGAGCAGGAGGAGCAGGAGGAGCAAGAGGAGGAGGAGGAGGAGGAGGAGGAGGTGATGGTGGTGGTGGTGGTGGTGGGACAGGATGCAGTTGAGGGAGGGTCGAGAACGAGTGCAAGGGGAGCAGGAGGTGCGGGGAAAGAGAGGGAGAGAGGGAGGAGAAGAAGGAGTGGAGGTTCAAGGACGATACTCTGAGCTTTGTGTCGATGTCGCTGTCCTTGCAGCCAGTCTCGAACGAGAATGCCTCCCTGCTTCTCTCCGATAGTCGCTGGAGCTCCCGCATCAAGCTCCTGCCCTTGACATCACAGCCAGCAGCCGAGGAGATTGCCAGCCGCACCTGTGCTGGTTGTTGGTCTCCTCATACTTCTTGTGGAGCTCTCTGACGAGATTGTAAGTGCTGGCAGGACTGCAAGTGTCGCTCACCGAACTTTAACAGCGACGTCCTCCATGTTGTTGTCCGCTGAGAACCTCTTGTTCCAGAATTCGTTCTCCTGTCTCAGCTGTTCAGCTTCAACATCTTCATCGTTCCACAACCTCCAGCTGCAGCGAGCGAACGTGGGCGTCGAGCCCCTTGACTTTGACTATTAGGGTGTCAACCTGCGCAACGAAGAAGAAGTCTCTGTCATGATCACATGAAATGATGCTAAAGAGTTGGGGTGCGGACCTGTTCACATAGTTCGAGCACATCTACTTTGAGGAGCCGTCAGTATCAAGAAACAACAATCATCTAGACGGTCTTGCCGGCATGCTCGGAGCCCTTGCTCGCTGAATGCTCCAACCCTTGCCCCCCGTTGGTGCTTCTCCGCGCTCTTGGAAGTTTCTCTTCAAAGGATAACGCCCTATGTGGACAAAAGGTCACCCCCCGGATGGGGCAGAAAGAAAGATGGGGAGAGTGTAGGTGGACAGGAGCAGGAGGATAGGCGCCAGGGGTGCTGGAGGAGGACGTCTGAGCTGCCATCATGTCGGTCCTGTGCTCGGGTCTGACCATGGCCAAGTCCAGGCGTGCCTTTCACCAGGAGGGCAAGAAGGAGGAGGGAAGGAGAGGAGCAGAGAGAGGAGCAGAGAGAGAGAAAGGGGGACGATGGGAACACCTTACAGTCCCGCGCGAAGGAGCCTCTTCGTTCCATCTGCGAGGATCTCCACCTTGGAACTTGCTAGGAACATCACTCCGAGGGGAGATGCTGTCCTCAGAGAAAGATCCTTGCATGTCGAACCCCCCCTCACTCTCTCGACTCACGACCCTCTGCCGCAAGCTCTCGTACGCACTGTTCATTCTCTCCAATTCTGACTTGAAGCCTGTATGATCTCGCATGATCGCATCCAACTTGCCCTCCAGCCCCGTCAGACGGGCAAGCATCTGACTCTGCAGCTCCTCTTGCGCCTCAACCTTGGGCTTCAGACGCACCTCAATCTGTCGGTTCTTCTCGATAAAATCTCTGTTGTGGCTGGAGATCGACGCCTCCATCCCCTCTAGCCTCGTTGACAATCGCTCCAGCTCCTCCGATACATGCGCGTTCAGCGCTGCCCTGTCATGCTCAAACTTCTCCAGCACCCTAACAGACCTGTTGGCCAGGTCAAGTGCCTCAGAAGAATTCTCTTGAACAGAGCGAATCTGAGCATCGTATTTGGCTTCCATCCTCCCCAGGAGACTTTCGTACGACAGCAACCTGCTCGACAGGTCGGACCGCAGGGCTTCGAACTCGGCGCCGCGAGTCTCCAGCTCTTGCTTGAGATGTAGGACGACATCGTCGTACCTGTTGGACGAGACATGCTCTTCGATCTTGTCAACCTTCCAGTTGTAGTCATGAGACCGACGATCTGAGTCCAGGCCTGACTCTGTCGGAGGAGGCGACGCCTGGGATTCTCTGCTCTCAGTGAGCAGCCTGCTCCGCTCTTCAGCTAGGTATTGGTGCGCCCTGGTCAGGCCTTCAACTGCAGCTTTCAGTTGACCTTGCAGACTCCCTTGTTTCTTGTTTCCTTTCTTAGATTTCTTCTTCTTCACCTTGGCAGTCGGATCTGTCGATGATGGCGCTTGTGCTCGCAGGCTGTCCACCACCCTGTTGGTCGCTGCAGGCTTTTCGACTTGTCTTGTCTTGACGCTCCTCATCTGCGATCTCGGCTCGCCAGTAAAAGCCGCGGCTAGCCCGCTCTACAAACCAACATGTCAGTGGATGCAACGACCATGCTTCTGCCAGAGGCATCAAAAAGGTGAACCTCCTGCCATGATCAGCACTGGGGGATGGGTGATGGGTACCTGTGTGACTTGCGGAGGCCTTGCCGTTGTTCTCCTCATCTTTCCTGAATGATGCGCTATAAGAGCCTCTTGTCTCTGTGTTACTGGACCGTCGTTCACTCGTTGTCACTGCACTTCAGACTGCCTGGTGCTGCTACAGGCTGTCCCGTCAGTTGATGTGTGGTGGATCCGATCGGAATCACAGTCAGTGATGGGTCTCGATCCGAGACTAAGTTCAAAGTTGCCAGCCTTCAAGTTCGGCGATCACCCGGCCGCGCGGAGGGTCACAGTTCAGATCTGAGCGGTGTTTGTTTTCGTTCCTCTCCTCCTCTCCTCGCCCTCCTCATCCTTGTTCCCCTCTTGTTCCCGCCATGGAGCCCGTTCTCCCTCCAGTCCAGGTCAAAATTTGATTCCGTCGTTATCATCCGTTAATAACCGTTTCATTGTAACCGATAGGATGATCCTGTTTAAGAAAACAGATTTTAAAAGGGGTACCAGATATTTATAAATTGGCTATCAGTGGTACAAATGTTGGAATTATGATAAAACAATAATATATTACCACTCTGTTTTGTACATATTATAAATAATATAAATTGATAGGTACAAACTCAATCAGTACTCTGGAACCAATCTGTGAATGGAGGTAGCGGTCATAACCCTACCCTTATCAATTCGACCATTTTTCAGTAGCGTATAGGGGTACAACTTACGAGGAGTGGTGGAACTACTTCATGGGGGTAGTCCTGCCTTTCCGGTGCTGTGCGAAGAGACACGGGAGATGGCGAGAGCTTGGTGGAAGGGGCGATGCGATGGGTTGAGAAGAATGAGCAAGGGGAGGAGAGGAATGGTGAACACGTAGTCCAGTGCAGACACCAGGATGCAGCGATGCCAGGATAGAGGAAGGTAGAGAAGCTGTTGAACGGAGGAACATGATGGGCAGGCATATCCTCCGTGCTGCGCCTGTTCTGGTGGGTAGGTTTTAGGGGCCAGCACCTGCAGATAGAACATGGCATATATGTTTGCAACGAATGTGTGAAACTTCAAAAGAATTCAGAATTTTGCAACGATCAGCATGATGTGGTAATTGAAGATGTTACTAAGAATACAACGCTCTTGGTTTTTATGTTCACTTGTTTAAAATCAGTCAGATATTGTGCACAACATTATCACAGCTGGAATGTAGAAACAGGATTAACTTTGGTCTCAGCAGATGGTTGCTGTATACAATACCTTCGGGGACGTCGAGGCCGTGCGCCCAGCGTCTTCCCAGAACTGGAAGAAGTATGCCGCGGTCATTGCCGGAGCATGGGCCGTGATGTTCGTCGCTGCCGTGATGGTCATTGGTATTTGAAGCTGGATGTTGTTGCTGTTGGTTTGATCCAAGACAGGCGCCTACGACAAGAAGACTACCTTGTACCAGCGCCCCAGGACTCAGATGCTCGCCTTCAAGGAGTTCGTCCCTGAGACCAACGTCTTTGAGAACTTTGATGCCAGGTACTGCGAACGTGTTTGTGCAGACCACCGTCTTGCTCAGTGTCACTGTCTCTCCTCCACTGATGCATGCCGGGTTCCTGCCTTTGTGAGGAGCTGAGCTGACCATTGTCCTGTGCAGCTTCACCCCCGAGAAGAAATTCGAGTATGACCTCGCCAAGGAGGCAGACTACTCTCAGATCAATATCGCCTCCGGAGTTGACGGAGACACCGTCGAGGAGGGCATCCCCGACCCCTACGCCGATCAGTCCGCCAGAATTGAGGTCCCCGCGGCCGTCTACACCCAGGATCCTCCCTACGATCCTACTGTTGTTGAGATCGGCGAGAAGGTTCACATTTCGTCGGTACACCCTTCAGGTGTGCTGAAGTGCCTGAGCAGGTTCTCGGCAAGCCATTCCATGAGTACACCGCTGCTGAGGAGGGCGACCCCGTCATGGGCAAGGATTACGAGGGTACCTAACGTGATCTACATGTACGCAACACTGATCACTTCGCTATCAGATGTTCCATTTGACAAGACCATCAACTCCGTCCCCGAGCCCAACCCCTCTCGTGAGTGGGAGTCCCTCGATGTTGAGAACGAGGTATGTCAGTTTGTTTTGCAAGATGCTGCAATGACGCATTCATTTTGCAGCCCAACCCCAACTATTAGATTAGGGACCCTAGTTTCTCATATAGTTGACTTTTTCGAAACGAGATGTAACTATGCTTTTGCGGATAAATGCAAACTCTTGCCAGAATGTGTTTGCCATGATGGGACCGGCAACCGTGTCGTCGTATCATATCATACTTGATCATGTGACGACACAAGTGTGAAACGAAGGATCATTGAGCAGAGTCTCTGGAGTCAGCAGAACATCGAATATTTACTTGTACATACAAAGAATTCTATCCGTCAGCGATGATTTGCTGACCCTGGTAGAAATCCAAAGAATGAAGACGGAACGTATAGACTCTCCTCGTTGGATCCTTCACTGTCAACGACGTCGTCATCGTACCCGTCATGATCATCATCGTCCTCTTCATCATCATCGTTTGTTGTCAAGACACCCGGTCCAGTAGAAACGTTCTGTGCTTCGCTTTCACCGGCAATATTCACAACATCGCTCCCCAAATCCTCTCCATCCGGCACTATAACTGCGAACTCCGGGTAGGCGCGAACAAATTCTCGAATGGACTCAATTTCCCCGGCGACTATCCTCAGACCATCTGAAACTTCCTCCTTCCCGATACTAAAGAATACAGCATGCTTTCCTTGGCCCAGAGGGCCTTGATAGCACTTCTCCCCCGGCTCGCAGAGTATTGTGGGGTGCAACAGGGTGTCAGCGACTATCCTCAGGAGAAGCCTGGCAGGAAGCCTTCTGGGTGCAAAGAAACAGGAAGACACTGTTGCTCGAGGAAGTCCGCACACAAAGAGCCTCTTGCCCCTGATCGCCTCCGGAGCATCCCTTGGCAGGTGGGATGGGATACTAGAGACCACTGAGAAGGATTTGTGGTACTGCTCAATCGCCACTTTGATCTCAGTGCAGTCCGCCCTGAGCTCTTCCTTGTAGTCGAACCCTCTCATCAAGATGTCTGACCCGTCATGCACCGTCACGGCCTCTGGCAGCTTCATCAGCGGGCCAATCATTGAAAGCACCTCCCCCCGGGTCTGCGATATCTCGATCTCGCTCTGAATCATCGCGCCATGGGCGTTGACGGTCATCGTCAGGACTAGCCTCTCTACTTCAGCTTCGTGCTCCTGCTCCTTCCCTTCGTCACCCCCGTCCTCTTCCTCCCTTCCTCCTCCCCTCCTCCCCTCCACCGCCCCCACCACGGTGGTCATTTTCTGCCTGCCGATCGTACTCCGTTACACTTTCCGTTTCCAATACCGTTACAAAGTACGTTGCACGACCGGGCCCGGTGAAAGTAGAGCGACAGCGCCGCGTCATGGCAAGGTTGGGCCTGGTGCTGGCAGTGCATGCGGCATGCGCGGCAGCGATGGTGGAGGGAGGGAGGGAGATGAACGTTCCTCCCAGGGTAGACGCCATGGAGAGGAGGATCGGGACCCTGCCCTCCGGGGAAGAAGCGCGTGCATGGACGATCCGGTCATCGACAGGAACGAGTGTGGAGATCATGAACGTCGGAGCTACGATCCTCAAGTTGAACACGAAAGACAGGACAGGTGAGCTCGGAGACATTGTACTTGGGCATCAGGACGAGATGCGCTACCTTCAGGACACCAACTACTTCGGCGGCATCGTAGGAAGGGTGGCGAACAGGATCAAGGACGGGAGGATGGTGGTGGGAGGGAAGGAGTACGAGCTTGACTGCAACAACGGAGCGAACCACCTCCATGGCGGCACCGTCGGCTTCGATAAGCGAGTCTGGAACTGCAGGAGGATCAGGAACGGCCTCGAGTTCTCGCTGCTGAGCAGGGATGACGAGGAGGGTTACCCCGGGGACTGCCAGGTCACTGCGAGATACACCCTCGTGGGCGATGTACTCACCCTGGAGATGCGAGCAAGGAGCATGAGCGCAACGCCGGTGAACCTGGCGCAGCACAGCTACTTCAACCTGGCAGGACATGCGAGCGGCAACGTGCTGGGACATGACGTGCAGCTGTTTGCAGACAAGTATACCCCGATGGAGCAGCAGATTCCGACGGGAGAGGTGAGGGGGGTGGAGGGGAGCGCGTTTGACTTGCGGGAGCCGTCCTGCCTTGGGAAGAAAATCGAGCAGCTGGCAAGGGAGAAAGGGCTGTCAATCGAGTACGACGAGGAAAACAACTTCCTGCTCAAGGATGGGAAGGAGCTTGAGGAGGAGGACGAGGAGGCTGGGCCGAGATGCCCCGCTCCCATTGGGTTCGACGACAACTTTGTGGTGAGGAACAGGAAGCAGAGCCTTCTCGAGCGGATCCTGTCCCTGGGAAGGGAGCAGATGCATCCCGTCGCGAAGGTGGTGGAGAGGAAGACAGGGAGGACGATGCTGGTGGAGAGCAACGCTCCAGGGGTTCAGTTCTACACGGCAAACTTCCTGTGCGGAGTGAGAGGAAAGGAGGGGAGCGTCTACCTTCAGCACGGGGGACTCTGCCTGGAGACCCAGCACTTCCCCAACTCGATCAATGCGGATGCGGAGGTAGGGGAGGGAGGGGAACGGGAGGGAGCTGAGAGGGAGGAGGGGCAGGAGAAGTGCGGGTTGGAAGGAAGGAAAATGGAGAGGAGGAAGTGCAGGGAAAGGAGGAGGAGGAAGGAGGGAGGAGGGAGGAGGGAGGAGGAGGAGGAGGAGGAGGAGGAGGAGAGTCGTGGGCTGACATGTCTTGTTGTATCAGAGTGAATTTGGCAAAGGAGCATGCCCAATCATCGATCAGGGAAAGGAATACTTTCATAAGGTAAGAATGGGGAGGAGGGAGGCAGGTCAGGGGTGGGAAGGAGAAGAAGAGGAGATAAGGTATGAGAGAGGAGGAGAGGAGAACAAGGGAGCGTAAGAGAAGATGATTCTGAAGAGTTGCTCATGATGGGTTGCAGGTGCGGTATACCTTCGGTACGATTTGAGCGAGGAAAATGTGGAAGTTGGAGGAGGAGGAGGAGGAGGAGGAGGACGGTCACATAAAGATTTCAGTCAACAGAAGCTCGTATCACAACTTTTGCTTCGACTCTCCTCCTCCTCTACAACTCTTGGTTGATCCGTCTCCCACCAGGAAGCAGGACGGCGAGGAATCTCCCGTCTCCTCTCAGCACGCTTCTCTTCACCTCCACTTCCACTTGATCGCAGTCTTGGAGGGGATGCTCCATGACCCGGAGGATGAATCGAAGTTCTTCCATCGCCTGCTCCTCTTCCTCCTTCCCCCGCAGCGACTGGCAGTCGAGCAGCGGCAAGCTTTCTCTGCGAAGCTCCTCCTCCTGGGTCTGCGGGAAGTTGAGCACGCAAGGAACGATGGGAGAAGGAAAGAGAGAGGAGGGACAGAAGAGCAAGTGCGAGATTGAGGAGAACAAAGGAGGAGGAGGAAGTAGAAGGAGGAAGGAGGAATTCAATCGCCACACCTCATCTTTTGTTCTGTTTCTGGAGATGCTGTCGTAGATGACACCGTTGATGAAACCCTGAGAGGAGAGAGAGAGAGAGAGAGAGAGAGAGAGAGAGAGAGAGAGAGAGAGAGAGGGAGAGAGAGAGAGAGAGAGGAAGAGAGAGAGAGAG